GATAAGGAAATTGAACTTAGAATCAGCTGTTCTAGGGGTAGTTTTCCCCAACATTGCAAATTACTGCAAAACCAAAGCATTAACCTAAAAACTCAAAATTATGTACATAAATAGTTTTGTCAAATTGAGACTTTCATATGGATGCCATGCAGGGTGCCAAAACCCATTCAGAAATACCTGAACTGACAGCTTTCTCAGATCAATTATTAAAAATGGCTTTTAGCGAATGAAGGTTGTAGGTCTTAGTAAGGACCATCCTTCTTTAGACCTTGTGAACTGGTGCTACAGAATCACAGTACCAAATAACAGAACACTCATCAGTTTAGAATTTCAACAGCAGCAGCAACTAAAATGCATATCACATGTAACTGATAAAGAAAATAATGACATTATCAGAATGTTGACTTTCCACACTGCATCAAACAAAAGATTAGGGAGGAAGTCACTATCGATACTGAAATGAGTAATAACAGTTAGTAGACTTGAGGAATGTATTTTCCTTCAAAATTAAAATATATATATATATATATATATATATATATATATATATATATATATGGGTAAGATAAAAAATATATATACATGCACATATACTTCATACCTGAAGATTGCAGGAACTGCATGAAACACCAAGTCATGCTATCGACATTGGATAATTATGTATATTCACTAATATATATATATATATATATATATAAAATAATAATAATAATAATAATATTTTTTTGTTTAAAAATATGATTCCTTCGCTACATAAGAATTCTCATGTTTCAAAAACGAGAGCTGAAACCATCCAAATAATTATTAAAATTAAGTTGAATTGAGGTGTTTAGTCCCGTTTCTTCAAGCGAAATTTTAGGAATAAGCTATCTCTTGGTTTACGTGTGTTTTTAGGCATAGTCCGTTACAAAATTTGTTATTGTGGGAGTGGCTAGACTATTTTTCTTTGTTAAGTGGTCAGAGAGTTAATTCTTATCAATAGATTCATCATCTTCTGAGAGTTTTTGCTAAGGTTGGGTAGGGTATCTATTTCAAGGCTAATGTTTGCAGTCACCCTTTAGTTGGTTCCCAGTGAGGGATATTTTTATGGCGCGCCTACAAGTCGTTATGTGCCAGGAGGATTGTGTTTTATTATTGTCCATCTGATTATCTATTTATTTATTTGTTTATTCAAGTGGGTGTTTTATATACAAATCATATTGCACTGAATTTCAATTTGTTTTTTTTTTTTTTGACGACTACAGAAAGGGTTTTTCCTATTTATATATATATATATATATATATATATATATATATATATATAAAAAAGTCTTATACCCACGACCAAGAAGAAAATAGATTTTAAAGTAGACTTAAACTGATAAAGAGTTGGCTGAAAGGGTTTACTAAAGGTAAAATGATCTCCTCTCTATTTGAGTCTATATATATATATGTCTAAATATAATATATATATATATATATATATATATATATATATATTTTTTTTATATCATATTTTTTAATTTACTTACAGCAAAATTGTCCAAATCATGTAACAGCATGGGATAATTGTCCATCCTACAAAATCATTAAACTAATTGAGTTTCTTTTTTCTAGGTGTTCAGATTAGACATGTCACACCATTTGCCATAAAAATCACTGAAGAACCCTTTGAGTTATTCAGCTAGAAAGAGAAGAGTTTAAGTTTAAGAAATATATTCTTAAGGTGTACTATATTTATGGGATAAGGTGCTCAATATCAGAGATAGAGTGTATGTAAATATAAATATAAAAGTGAACATTGGAGTCAACACTCAGAGGTGACAGGCTGTTTCATGCTAGACGCAATCGTCAGGCAGCCTGATGATTGCGTCTAGCATGAAACAGCCTGTTGACCTTTGAGTGTTGACTTTAATGTTCACTTTATCCATTATATATATATATATATATATATATATATATATATATATATATATATATTTAATTAAATATATTTATATGAAATAATTAAATATATCTATATTTTATATGAAATAATTAAATATAAATATATATAAAGGGTGATTGAAAAGTAACTCCCTATTTTAGGAGTCCTGACTTAACACCATGTGACTTTTTTTCTATAGGATTGGTTAAAGGAGCAAGTTTACTATACCAAAACAGGACTTTGGAAGAACTTGAATGGGTGAATACAAGAAGTTATGTCTTCCATACAACAAGAGTTCCTAGTGAAATCAGTTGGCACGATTCCTGTTTGGCTTGAGAAGCTCGGAGGAAAATCTGGTGCCAATAGCAAATTTTAAATAAAACCACATGCTAAATGCTTTCATATACATTTCTTGTAAAAAATATAGTTAATAAATAAATTATAATTTAAAATAGGGAGTTACTTTTCAATCACCTGTATATATTATATATATATATATATATATATATATATATATATATATATATATATATATATATATATATATATCTGATTTTTATAAAATAATTTATATATATATATATATATATATATATATATAATTAATTATTTTTACACATGACCACACATATATATGAAAAAATTAAATATATATATATATATATATATATATATATATATATATATATATATGTATGTGTGTATTCAAATGTAATGAGAACAAATAGAATATAAATTCAAATGTTCATAGCATTAATTTAAAAGATTGCTCAGTACCAAGTGTAGAGTAATAGTTATTTATTATAAAGATGTTACATGGACAAACAAGTACTCATGACAAAGATGCATTTTTGTTTCAATGTGAATGCATCTTGACATGTGAGGAACTATATATATATATATATATATATATATATATATATATATATATATATATATATAGAGAGAGAGAGAGAGAGAGAGAGAGAGAGAGATTAATTAAATAATTTAAAACAAAATAAGATATAAAATCAATAAATAAATAACCAGTACATTTATAGCACAATAAATATTCATTAATAATATTTACTGAGTTTATCTTAATATGCGATAAATATAGTCACAATTTAATTTAATAATAAGCTTGATATTTGATGAAAGTAAATTGTCATTTTCCATGGTACCAAATGGTCCATGGTGCCATGCAGTGTCCCAGAGTACCAAGACATTTTGAATTTATGTGTTGTATTATAGCCAACATTGATCTTCAAAAATTTAAATGCAATGTTAATTGCTATCTACTGTCCTCCTGATTACTCTTTCCTCTTCTTGATCATTATTAATATTTCTGTTTCTAATTCTTCCACACCTAATAACTCCCTTGTGTCTTAGTGGCTTTACTGCTTTGCTTGGAGTGAACTCGAAAAAGAAATATGTAGAGAAGATAACAGTTAACCTTTGACATGAACAGGTTAAGATTGTAGCAATCAAAGAAGAATCCTCTTGGGAGTCAGTTCCACAAAGCAACTGTTTATGGGAAGAAGCTGTTTGAGCAGAACTTTCATTTTGCCAATGGAATATGAAGGGAATGAGGGTGGTTGGCTACAATGTGCATGGTATGGTGAGACTTAGCCATGAATATTAGAACTGGTGGGACTAAGGAATCTGGACACTTTCCATGGAAATAGTGACAGACCAGTGAGAGGATTACAAACATTTTGTCTATGGGAAAGGATTGGAGGGTGGAAAATAATTCAACATCCACAAGGATGCAGAGATCTTTTTGGACTCTATCGAGAGAGGAAAATGGAGATTGATCAGCCCCTGTCTGTATATAGCAGTAGTATTTGATTTTCAGCCTGATCTGGCTCTTCTAAAGATAGAGCATAGGAGGAGGGATCAGGTACTTACTGGAGCAGTACAGTACTGACCATTTCTCTAGAATCTTCAATGATGGATCATATGTACCAATTCCACTTGAGGTCTGGGCTGAGTATAAGTACCAATAGGTGCTAAAGGCATGAGACCTCCTTGAAAGAACACTTGTACATTGCAATTCAGGGTCTGCTCAGTGATGAAGGAACATCACATGTTTGGTCCTTTGAGGCATTGAATGTGACTAACCAGTTTTCCCCCACTGAGCTGTTACAGCTGGGTCAGAGGAAAGATCAGCTGCCAAGCACTGGCCATCTAGAGTTTTGGAAGTGCGTCCATATATCATAGTATCATTCCGCATAGATATTCATAAATGATTGGAGTATACTATTAGGAAGATCATTTATGTAAAGTAGAAAGACTGTCAAACCAAGAAGCAAGTCTTGGTGGATACCTGCGTTGATTGCCAGGGCCTTGGAGGACTGGCCATTAAAAACTACCTTCTGAGACCTACCTGTTAGGAAAGATTTGAGAATTGAGAAGACTCTTCCAGTGATTCCATAACTTGAGAGCTTGTGCACTAATCCACTATGCCACGCCTTTTGAAATATTGAATTCAATTGTCCTTGAGATGTATTTGTTCGCTCATGTCTCATTGATTCTGTGAGTAATGGCAGTTATGATATCAACAGTTGACATACATACTGCGTGTAACCTCTGCATGTTGAGGGTCAACCATTTTCTATCCTACATATCCTCATAATCTGCACTTACTTCCACATTGATGCAACTACTTATGTGCATGGATAAATGATGATGGTAATTTTAAATTTAAAAATATTTTTTTTTTAAATAATTTTTTTATGTATGCATGTAAGTACATATGCATACATGTATATATATTACTGTTTTGTCCATACAACAACCTCATTCAGTAACCCTCTACCCACTCACAAAGTAGGTGCCAATTCACACATATCAAGTGCAATGCTGTTATAGCCACACTGTCACAGCAGCACTACTAGAGACAGGCGAAAAACAAAATGGAATCTCTTGAGAGATATAATTGATAACATCCTGAAGAGACACAACATTTAAAAAAAATCTCAGTATTATTGTCATTGTTATATGTTCTTTTCTAAAGAAATTGTCAGTATAGTGACAAGAATTTCATGAATAAGTCAACACTGAGAAATGTTTTTGAATGCTTATTCCCAAAGAAAATAAAAAGTCGTCATACTTATTTCAGATATCTTGTCTTCTTTTTCATCCAGCAGCGACTGCAGTAGTTGGTAGGAATTCTGGCATTTCTCATGGATCTTGCTACCATTAGATTCCTCACTGTCAGAATCACTAAGCTTCAAGAAGACAAAATTTTGATAAATAATTTACAATATTAATGAATGAGGATGATAATAACCACAGCATTAGTCTGATATAGTAACCATGTTCTCGGGGAAAATACCCTTTAATTTTTTTTCAAATTACAGCTAGCAGAATGAAACATAATAAGAACAATGAAAACCAGAGGAAGAAATTGCAGTCTGTGTATAAAGGAGAAATGGTAAATCATAGAATTCAAGAACATGAATGGATTAATAAACAGAAGGAATGAGACTATTTCAAACTGTTACCATACTTACACATTCATTTTGAAAAATGTGAAAAAGAACTAGAGATCCCAAAGACTCCAAAGGAAACAAATGCCCATTTTAAAAATTGCACTGCATGAAACTGGCTGTTAATGAGTAAATAATAAAAAAATGTTATTTTCTTAAGTGTATTAAGATGCTCTTTTAAAAATATTTACAATAGAGCACTTTTATATACATAAGAAAAGAAATATACAAATCATATATATTGTTATATACCATACATATGAACACTAATGGGTATGTCCCAATCCTCATAAATAGTTTGGACATTATTGTAAGTGGGGGTAATATGCTGTCTAAATAGTCCACCACTGGCAGTGGTTTACGTACTTCACACCGCTGGCAAGTATTGTATTCTGACGATGTTATAAAGATTACCATTTCATTTCCAACCTTCATTGTTCCTCATTCAGTAACCTTTTCTAGGTTGCAACATATATATATATATATATATCTTTTTATTTTGTTGTAAAAAAAAATGTTAAATTTTGTGCATTTTTATGGCCTTTTAGGCTCAAGCGGCGAAGCGCCAAGATCTTGTGAATTCTACTCTTTTTGAATACTCGGAAGGGGATTTTATATATATTGGCCAATGGGAATCAAGTTTGCCTCTGTCAATTTGCCTACATCAAATCCCCTTCATGCTGAGAGATCCTTTACAGAGCTGTTACAACAGGTTGGTGTCATTTAAAATATTGTACCGGGTGCCATATTGTGAATCCTCTTACTCCGAATTTTCCCTTATTTTTATATTTGTTGTAACCTAGAAAAGGTTACTGAATGAGGAATAACCAAAATGGAGGTTGGAAATGGAATGGTAATCTTTATAATATCAACAAAATACAATACTCACTAGCGGTGTGAAGTAGGTAAACTACTGCTAGTGGTGGACTACCTAGACAGCATAACTTACAATAGTGTCCAACATATGAGGATTGGGACATACACATTAATGTTTATAGGTATGGTATATAAAAGTATTTTTGAATGGATATATTTTGTATATGGATCCATTAGTCTTATCAACATTTTTCCTGTTTCTGAGTGCAATCTTTTTATTGCCTTAAATTGTTATCCTGCCAAAAGAGGTGCACAAAAAGAATTTTTTGTGCAATTTCCCACCCTTCTTGTATTATAGTTTTTTACAGTTGTAAATTGTATTGTAAATAAATCTGTTTTCCTTTAAGATTTTGCGCAGTGGTCATCTTGTTTTTTTAAGTTGTACCTATTTTCAAGAGTTGCTGTTTCTGCCAACTGGTTGAAAGCAAATTTTTTATATCTTGCACAAAAAAAAAACTTTTATATTGCTGTGTAAGATTTTTATCATCTATCTATTTAAATGTCTATGCATGAAAAAGTGGAAAAAGTTTACTTGGGATGTGTTTCATCCCTCAGGATTTCAGTAGACTAAATTTGTTATATTGGTAGGAGTACACATGGGGGGGATATTTTTTTTATCTAGCCTAATTCCTTTAGAGTTTTTCCTTTTTTTATCACATTTATAAGTAGGTATCCCACACTTTGGTATTGGAAGATCTGCCAGTAATGATGAAATGTCATAACAGCCAAGGTGCAAATTTACTGTGGATGACCTTGCAATTATGGCACTCTCTAGACACTTATGTTGTAGTGAATTATGCTTTCTTTGATCAGGGTAGCATTTTTTACATCAAAATTGTAGTCAGTCTTGTTATGTTGAGCAACCAATGCATTCACCATATTATTTTGTAAAATGTCCCTTTTGTGTTCATATAATCATTTATCTAGATTCTTTGAGGTTTCTCCTATGTATTTTTTGAGACAATTGTTACAGGTGATATCACAGTGTGGAATACCTACTTACAAAATGATGGAAAAAAAATGAAAAAGACTCTAAATGAATTTGGCTGGATAAAAAAAATTCTATGGGCATGTGTAGTCCTACTAACATAACAAATTTAGTTCAATGAAGTCCTGAAGGGGGAAACACGTCACAAGTAAACTTTTTCCATTTTGTCATAAAATTTCCAATGCATCACTAGCAAACTTTTCCCACTTTGTGTTAGAAAAATAATATAATATATATATATATATATATATATATACACACACATATATATCTATTTATATATATATATACATAATATATATATATATATATATATAGGAAAATATGAAAAAATATACAATTAAGGTGTGCTATATTTATGGGATAAAGTGCAAAATATCAGAGATAGTTTGTGTAAATATAAAAGTGAACATTGAAGTCAACACTTAGAGGCGACAGGCTGTTTCATGCTAGACGTAATTGTCAGGCCTGAGTATTTATATATACATAGATATATACATATGCACATATATGAATATGAATATATAATATCACACATTGAGTGCTGGTGTTAATAAAATAGTGCTCAATGTAAAATAATAGAGCTATAAATTATGTATCAATAATAAATATACATTTTTTCTCACCAATATCACAACTTGGAATTTCATGCACACTTCATAGATCAGGTGCATTGTTGTGCATGAAATTCAGAAATGTGTTGTGAAAATAAATGTCATATCTGTTATTATTTTATGTGTTTATATATAAATATATATATATATATATATATATATATATGTTTTACAAGAAAAATATGTCACAAGAAGAATATGTCACTGACCATAACAATATCCATACTAGTCTTGGAGTTTTTGGAAGGTTTTATATCGTTTTCATACATTCGAAGTGAATTTTTAAGTTCAGTGTTTTTTTTCATAAATGTGGACTTCAGAGAAGCCAGTTTCTTTTCATAATCTTCACGTAAGTTTTGCTCTGCAACCTGAAAAACAGCAACAAAAATTTAAAAATAAACAACCATTTATTTGAAGGCACTCATAGGCACATCTTGACTAATAAGAAGGGTTAATCTGATGGAAAAGATAGCAACGTCTTGTTTTATTTTAGTAGCAATTGTATAGTATCTGTTGTTGTATACAGACTACCATTGATAAAATGAGACATTTACCTACCTTTTGTATGTCAATCCTAATCCTTATTGTATCATTTATAAAACTTTCTGTCAACCACTTGTGCATTCTTGCCTTTAAATTCAAGTCGTAATGGTGATTTAGACTTACCCTGCTAGAGAACTCTACCTTTGCTAAAACATAAACCAAAGAATTTCCATTAGAACTTAGAAATCATATGTAAACCTGCAGAAAGGTTTTGAGATGTGAACTTTAAAATACTCAGATCTTTGATAGAGTGGCAGTCCTCTTTAGGCAGCTTAGTCTTCTACCTAGAAGAGGCTACCCCAACAGAAAACACATCACCATGGGACTTTAATCCCAACTGTCCCACTTTGAGGAGCCTTCTTCACCTCATATTTCCACTGATATGAAGTAAAGTGATTATATTGAATCAATTGCTAAGTCTGCTGCTAGGAAAGTTGGTTCATTGTGCTGTGTCAGACAATTTTTCTTGTCAGAATCCATCATGCACACTTATAAATCTACCATTCGTTCGTGCATTGAATATTGGTCTGGTATTCCTGCTGTATATCTCAAGATTCTTGACAAAATTCAAACAGGGTGTTTGTAATATAAAAGATCCTGACCTGACAGTTCAACTTCAGTCAGTTTCACATTGACATGATGTGGCTTCCCTCTGTCTTTTCTACAAATATTTTCATGGCAACTGTTCTGATGTGCTTCTCCACACCCCCAATGCCTCAGGTACATGACTTTAAACATGCTATTAGATTGGTAACAAGGTTTCCGTCTTATTGTTGAGCGAGCTAGAGGCAGCCACTACTTCCATTCTAATAGCTTCTTTTCTTGCACTTCTCACCTGTGGAACTCCCTTCCAGCTTTTTGCTTCCCTGCCACCTATAATCTTTAAAAATTTAAATACAACCTCAATTGCCATCTTCTGTCTTCCAAAAACCTCTTCCTTTGTCCTCCTCACTTATACACACTAATTTTTCTTCTCTATTTCACTCCCTGTAACCTTAATCTTAGTGGCATTTCATGTAAATTTAGGGAAAAATGACAAAAAAAAATTCCATATCCCTTCATGTGATAATGGCTCTCCACTAATTCCTTTTATTATCTTTGAATTGCCATGCATCCATGGGAAGAAGAATAGAGTGAATTCTTGTTGATTTCTCCAGGATTTTCCTTCTTTTAGAATGGTTGGCAACCAATCTAAAAATTTAAAAATTATTATCACAGGAAGAAAATATCAGTTGCATTCTAGTTTCTTCTTTCTGCTGACAAAGTAGATTTAAGATTTGTGTTGGATATATAACTTATTCAAAAGATAAAGTATTAGATACAATGTGAAGGGGTGTGATTGAATCAATTGCTAGGTCTGGAAGCTGGATCACAGTGTTGTGCCAGACAATTTTTCTTGCCAGAATCCATCTTGCACATCTATATATCTACCATTTATCCATGCATTAGATATTGCTGCCATATCTGGTCTGGTGCTCCTGCTATATATCTTGAGATTTTTGACAAAATTCAAAGAAAGGTCTGTAATATAATTGATCCTGACCTGGCATCTTGACTTCTCATTTTCTACAAATATTTTCATGGCAATTGTTCTGATGAATTTTTTCCTTTAGTATGTAGTGGGGCCGTGGCTGTTATGTTGTCGATAGAAGTCAGACATAGAATAAATGCATGTATAGGTTGGAATACTCCTGCCCAAGCCCAACTACATAAAAAAGGTTGTTGTTTTGAATTAAGTCCAAAGAAGAAGGTAAAGAAAGCAAAAAAAACACAAGACCGATAATATATGTATATACAAATATATATTAATAACAACTTACAATACATGGAAACAGTACAAAGGATGAAGTGTGTGTGAATATTCTGTACAAGTATAGATATTCTGTATGTGCGTGTGTGAATATTCTGTAAATTATGAAATGTGTGAATATTCTGTATGTAATCATAGTGTTTGAATATCAAAAATGTGATGCGTGTGTGAATATTGTGTTATTTGTTTGTTTCCAAAAAATTATCCCTTGTTAGCGCTCATATATTTCAAGGTTGATAGTCCCTTAAAGGAAAAAATTTTTACCTCAAGGTGTCAGTGCACAGGTTTGAAGGAAAAAAAGAGATTGAAGAGTCATGGCTATTTATAGCCAGGGAAGAGAGACCCTGGTGAAAGGGTTAACGGACTGGAGGAGGAGTTAACTCCGACAAGTACCTCAACTTCAGGAATCTAAGCTTTCTACTAGATTGGCAACTAGATCTCACTCTTTAATTGTTGGACTAGCTAGATGTAACCGTATGTTCTATTCTAAGAGTTTTCTTGTTTTTGTACTTCTTCCCTGTGGAACTCTCATCCGATTTCTTGCTTCTCTGCCACCTACAGTCTTCAAAAGCTTAAATGCAATATGTCAGTTGCCATCTTCTGTCTTCCTGAACTCTGTTAGTTTATTGTTTTTTCCTCACTTCTCCTTAGTCAGCTCTTCTCATTCTCTTTCACTGACTGTAACCCCTTGCATCCTAGTGGCATTATCACTTTGCCTGGGGTGAAATGATTAAAAAAACAAAAATTATAAACATTTGGCTGTCATATATATATATATATATATATATAGGAATGGGTTTTCCATTTACTAATCTGATATATTTTGATTCATTGCTTAAATGTTATTTCCATAGTATATTTATTTATTTAACTCTACCAGCTTGAGAAATCTTGTTAGAAAAATATGTGCCTTCTGGCAGGATTATATATATATATATATATATATATATATATATATATATATAAAATAAAGATTGTCTTTCACAAAAAAGAAGAAAAAATCTCTTTTATAGCATGCAGTCTTTGTAATAAATAGTGCTCAATATCAAGGGATAGAGCATTAATAGTATTAAATGAAATTCGATGTTCACTTATCTCTATGAAACTCTATGATATGATGAGATAAATGAATCTTTAATTTTATTTATTATTATTCATATGTATATATAATGTTATATACAAATCCAGACTTATAAATCTATAAAAGCATTCATTTATAACACTCTATGTGTCTATATTTCTGAGATAAGGTATTGTAATTATTTACCATTTCTCAGATTGTATTGTAATTATTATCATTTTTTATCAGAGCTCATATTGCAATTTGCTGGTAAAAAAAATGATACTGAGACATTAAGTTTATAAGTCCCAAAAATTCATACAATGATGGACACATGGCCCAGTGGATAAAACCATTGATTGGATCCAGTGACTTGACCCAAAGAGTTGTGAGTTCAATACTGCAGTGAACAAAAAATTGATGGATTGAGTTAAAGAGAGATAACTGAAACATCTAGAAGAGGCACGGCACATGGAACTAGAACAATATACTCCAGTGGATGAAATAAAGGGTTCAGTTTGAAATTCCAATCACCTGAAGAAGTCTTGAATATGGCAATAGAGATGAAGACAACAGTCTGAACAATGTAGACAGTATTCCTAGACCAATGCAAATTACTAAATAAATTATCAGAACTTATCTCAAATGCAGACACAAAAACAAATTTTTACTATGCTACTTGAAAATAGAAAACTAAGAAGGAATATCATGTAAAATACCTTAATAAAAAAAAATTGCACTATATACAAGAGATGATGTAACATACTTAAAGACAAATGAAAAAAAGTTTATTATCTGGTATGGAGTGGAGAATAATTCACATGGTTCATGTGAGCAAGAATTTATTCACTCCATACAGTGACAAGAGTGGTTGTTAAAATTCCAGTTAAATGTTTGTTCAATTGTAGCCAACAAAAGAAGCATTTAAAGCTCAGACCCCTATTTAGATACCCAAGCAGGATATAATTAAAAATCCCCAACAGATTAAATCTCCATGGTGCTGTTTCCCTTTGGAAAACGTTTGCTGAGTAGATATATTATTCCCTGTGTGGGACACTTGTATATATGTATATATAGTTTTGTGCATGTCTTATTGTCTCTGAGAATAAAGCATGTTAAATTATTTATCATAAGATGCCATACTGTTCCATCTGTTAACGATGGTGTTATTATATCTAATAAATAGTCAAGCCAAAACACTATCCATATGTCATGAAGACTTTGTTCAAGATGCATGAAACAGACTGTCACCTCTCAGTGAGAGACCTCAGAGTTCATTTATATATCAGAGCTACAGGAATGTAGGACACCATTTGGCTAAGATACAAAGACAAGCTGAAAATACTTGTTGTTTGTCAATATACCACATAACACTATTTGAGCTCTTAGCCTTGGAAGGTAAAATGGATTATTATTTTGTGTTTTAGTGGACTAATGTTTTCAATCTGCATGTCTGAATCATCTTCAAGTGAGAGCAAAATTTAAAAGGTCAGCCAATTAACAGTGATCTCCTCTCACAATCCTCACACTTGCTCCATATTAGCCTCCTTTGTAAATCACTAGAGGGTCTTAAGTGTCACTTTAAGATTATCTTTCACAAAATTTCATAACTGAATTAAATAATTTATCAGATAAACATAAGCAAAAAGACAGGAGAGTCCATTATATATATATATATATAACAAGTTCTGTCTATCAATATTTTTATTAAATTTTCAAATAAGTCATTTTAGTGTTATTTGCAAATTTGACAAAATTCATATTAACTTTCATATTATATTATTAGTTTCCTGACTACTTTTGAATGTTGTTTTTTTTTTTCAAAGACTATGTAAATATATAATAGCTAACAACTAATTGTTTTGTTCTCCTGTTTGATGCTTATTGAAGCTGCATAGCTACAATGTGAACATCATTGTAAAAAAAAATACTATGTTAGGAAACATCAGTTCTGTACGTTCACCAAAGTTAAGCAACATTGAACCTGGTCAGTACCGAGATTGAGAATACCAGATGCTGTTTTTTTCAATGTTTTTTAATATTTTTGGATAATTTTTTTAGAATTGTTAATGAAAGAGCTAAGTTCCACAAAGGATCATTGGGTTATTATATTCACTTAGAGAACATAAAATTTTTTTGGGAAAGGTATGAATTGCAGAAATTTTCCATCAGCTATGGGTTAATTAGCAACAATTGTGTCCGTAAATCATTATTATTTCCAAAAAATAAAATCTTCCAATCTAAAAATATTTCCTGGCATTAAATAACCTGCTGCAAGGTTGATAAGAGGTAAACAACAAACCAATCAATCAATATGCTTGGAACAACTGAACATCTGTATTCAATTGTGAATCCTTTTTGTCGAATTACAAGGCCTGTCCTAGCTGTGCAGGTTAGAACTAGTGGGACTAAAGAATGTAGTTTGTTGAAGTACTTTCCATGGAAGTAATGATAGAGCTTCAAAAAATTTCGATCATTTTTGTCTGTGAGAGATGGGATTGCAATTTTGGAAAATAATTTTTTTTTAAAAGAATGCTTTTTTAAAACTTTTTAGATTCTATTGAGGATGGAAATTGATTTTGGGCAGCTCCTTCCTAAATATGATAAAGTATTCAATTTTTAGGCTTGATTGGCTCTTAAATTAAAAGAGGATAGTTTGAAAGCCAGAAACTTACTGATCAATTCTACAGAGAACTGACCATTTTTCCTGCATCTTTAGTGATGGATCATATGTACAAGTTTCTATTGAGGTCTGGGCTGAGTTTAAGGCCCAATTGTTGCTTAAAGCACAGGTCCTTTCTCAGGGAACATCCATTCATCTTGACTGGTGATAGTTTAAGGTCTGATCAGTGATGATGGAATGTAACTAGTTTGGTTTTCGAGGCATTGAATGTAACCAGCCAGTTTTTCTCCCACTGAAATGTTAGAGTTAGGTCAGAGGAGAGCACTGATGATCTAGAATTTTGGAAGGGCATCCATATATCATTGTATCATCAGCATAGATCTTAGGCAGATCATTTATGTAAAAAAAAAAAATTGGCTGGTAATGAAGTTGACATCTGCATTGATGTATCAAAATTTGTGGACTGTCCATTAATGTGTGATTTAAACGAAAATTGTGAAAATAAAAAGATTTCGGATAAAAAAATATGCTGACAATTATTAAAAACTTGGAACAAAAAATTTTGCTCAATCTTCTGTTTCCTGCACATTTTTAAAAAACAGTACTATTGATAATTATCTCTGGATATATTTTAACCTTCACCAGTCTCAAAGAACAAAAGAAAAATGAAAAAAAAAGCTCTTCTTTTTTATCCTTATATCAAGCATTCTTTTGACATCTCTTGGTTATCAATTAGCCTTTTTTATAAAAAATAGCTTAATAAAAATAAATTTCAATATTTCAATTTGCTGGAGTTCATTTTATATAAAATGATGCAATAAAAACATTACAGAAAATTCATTTCTCTTGCTTTGGTGAGGTATGTCTATAAACCACAATTAACAAACTACCTTCATAGGGACCTGTTACTCAGTCAGTTAGTTAAGTGTCATATTTAATAAAATTTTGGGCAATCATGTCTCATGATTCATGAATGACTTCTTATGATTTTTCCTGTAGTAGGTTGTTGTTTTTTTTTTTGCAGTAGACTAATTGCCAAAAAATTATAGAACCCAATTTAAAAAGAGAATATTTATTTTGTAAAATTACAAAATTGTGGCATCCATAGCTGGGAGAGAAGAGATGGAGTCATATCTTTTCCAAGTGTATTTGCATGTAAGGGAATGTAATGAACCTGAGTAGAATTTGAACTCTGCTCTTCAATTTTTCATTCCAACACATTATCTATTACACCACCTGCATATCCATTCCATACAAGATACACACCTTATATTCTTTATGTAGTTTTACCACAAGATTCCTCACTTGTTGTCGGCAAGATGAACGAAGGGATTGGATTTTCTGAAGGTAAAGGAAAAAATTAATGAAATTAAAACCAATTATTTTATTAAGCTTATATTAAGTTTAATTCTTTAAACAGGGTTTGTTTTCACATCAATTAGCACAAAAGAGCAACACATGCACAGAAACACAAAAATTAAATAACACAATAATACTTTGCAAAACAAACTGTAAAAAAAGATTATAAATTTTAGAAGCTATTCATATTAAGTTAAAACCATTAATTAAGTTCTACTCTGACAGTTTCTTTCCAAGAACTGCTGCTTTGTGGAACAGACTCCTGGCAGGATTTTTTCTCAGTCACGACAAAAGATGATGGTTAAGCCTAGACTTGAAGAGTTGACTACTTCAAGTCGAAGTTTAACCATTATTTTTCCTGTATAACGCCATGAACTTCATTTCTTGCAATCTCTTACACTCATAAAACAACATAAGTAATCCTTTACCTTGAGTGGCTACTGGGCCTTGTATTGTATAATTTTCTAGCTTAAAAGTTGCTCTATTGAGTAGCATTTAAGTTAGCTCCTGTGGAGTGCTCTTGATTGGGCCTTCGGCTTGTTCAGGAGTTTGAGAGTCCCTAAGTTTTTGCATATTCTCAGCACTAGAAGCTCTCCTGGTTGCTGTTTGATCTGGGTTTTCATTTGCACCAAATTTTCTTTTCCTCACTGCAGCTTTAGCTCTTTTGATTGCAATCTGGTCCTCTGTTGGCAGAGATTTCTTTTTGTGAGTCATACTGCTGCCGTATGCAATAGGCAACAATAAACAACAGAACTCAAAATTGATCACTGCATTTAAGTATTGCATTAATATTTAAGCTTACTTTTTAAAAGTTCAATGATAATTCTTCTGCTGCCACTTAATTTAAAGACAATTTGATGTATGTAGGTCCTTATTTTCTATACAAACAATTATTTTTATTTCATGGATGACTTTTACTGAATTAATTTCTATTATTGCCAAACTTATTTCCAAGTTATAAAAATTGTTATTGTACAAAAAAATTAATTGCAAAAAATCATGTTAAAAATCGCAGTAATGAAAAGTTGAGAATCCAAAATTTTAGGAATATGGTTCCGGATCTGGCCTGGAATGATTTTACTTTGCTCATGGAGTCAGCCTGATTCCAAAATCTTATGATATGTTGGGCTACAGCCTCTAGGAGTAAAGTTGAAAAAGTGTGATACACAGACATTCGCATTTATTTATATAGAAGGACTCACAATTTAAAATGTATTTAAATTTTCAAAACTCATATAGGAACACATTCACGTAATATCAAATGTTTAAAATGAAAAATAATATCATGTTCATGTGACATCAAATATATTAAAAAATAATAAATAACTTCTTCTATATGCCATGTCCCATTATGATATTGGTGATCGGGTGCTCCACAATTTCCTGTCCTTTGTAGCTCTTAGTAAATTTTGTTTTTTGTTTATCTCTCCTAAACCCTGTTCTGCCATCCATTTACTCAAGCTCACTAGGTCAGTTATGCATTGTTTTTCTCTCTCCTTCTTGCCTTTAATCTCTCCTGTGAGTATCAAATTTTTCAATCCCTCTTTCCTCATTATATGTCCTAGAAATTTCAACTGTCTCTTTCTTATGTTAAGTATAAGTATCTTTTTGTTCCCATTTTCTTTGTTGTTGCTCACATATTTGGTCCATGGTATCCCCAACATCCTTCTGTAGAACCACATTTCTGCAGCTTCAAGTCTCTTCAGAAGAAGCAATTATTGGCAGATTTGAACAATCATCTAGTGAACACAAACGATTGCTTTTAATATCTTGCTGTTTCTCCTTTTTATGAGTATGTTTGCAGATATAAAGGGGGTTTATAATTATTTACTCAGCAACTCCCCTACAATATGTTCACTTGTTACATTCTTTGGTTTCATGTCATGCTCGTCAATGCCCATAATCCATATACTGAACATTATTCCACCAGAAAATAAAGAACTTTACACTATATCAATTTTTCTTTTAAGAAGCAATTGAATACTTTGGGTTCACTGAATTTTTGGTTAACTCCTCAGAAAAAAAAAAAAAAAATATATATATATATATATATATATATATATATATATATATATAGAGAGAGAGAGAGAGAGAGAGAGAGAGAGAAATGAGATAGATAGATAGATAGATAGATAGATAGATAGAGATAGAGATACATATGGATAGAGAGATAGAGGAGGAGAGAGATAAATAAATATAAATATATGTATATATAGAGAGAGACAAATAGATAGAGAGAGAGAGACAAAGAGAGAAAGATAGAAAAGTAGGTAGACAGGTAGAGAGAGAGAGAGAGACAAATGGATAGATAGAGAAAGAGAAGGGGAGAGAGATAGAGAGACAAATAGAGAGACAGAGAGAGATAGATAGAGAGATAGAGGGAGAATGAGATAGAGAGACAAATAGATAGATAGATAGATAGATAGATAGATAGAGAGAGAGAGACTAAAAGAGTTAGATAATTTTGGGAAGTGGAGAAAAGTATCTGGGTCATGAAAGTTTTGTCCAAGGACATCACTTCAAAAGAGTTGACTTACCTTCTTGTATCTTTCTTCACTTGCAATAACATAATCTTGATACCACTGGTACCACATCTGTCTGCATAAAACAAAGATCAATATATTAAAATAGAAATTCAATTAATGACATTTCACTTCATTTTGTTACTTGTTATTAAGTCTTACTGCTATTTCAAATGCCATTGAGAAATTTTAGTTTAATTGCAATTTAACATTTTCTTCCATATTGAGATTTTCCATTTCAAGCCACATTTTTAAAACTAATGTGTTTTTTTTGTTTGTTTTTTTTTTTTTTTACTAATGTTCACCCTATACAATACCCAAGAGCCACTCAAAGTAAAGGGTTACTGAAGGTGGTTGTTGTGTAAGAGGTAAGAGTAATGATAATATTAGCCATTTCCTTATAAAGAAACATTTGTATGTGTTGACTGAGCAGCCAGTACTACTGTTGTTTGAAATTTTAAAAATCTTCCTCTTAAAACAATTTTTCTGGAAAAATAGGTTTCAAAAGTCCAGTAGCTGTTATCTTGCTCTTGATGGGGGTTTCCTTCCCAACCTTTTGTTTGAAGTAATATGGAATGTCAGCATCTTGATTAGGTCATTATACTTTCTTCTAGTTATGTGTAATATTCATTTTAGTTGTTGCTCCTGTTGAAAATCCTCAAGTGATGTGGTTTCTGTCTATTTGGTACAGTTCTTTGTTTGTGATTCTGTAGCACCAGTCTACATGGTTCAAAGAAGTGTGGTCTTTGCCAAGACCTACAGTCTTGACTCACTCAAGAGGTGCAGTTTATACAAATATGTGGGAAAGATGAAGGTTAACCCTAGACTTGAAGTTATGATTGTAGAGGTCAAGAAAGCAATCTTCTGGGATACTGTTCCACAAAGCAACAGTTCTTGGGAAGAAGCTATCTGAGTGGAACTTACTCCTTATAAAAAGAAATAGAAAGAGAATGAGGTTGGCTCACCTCAATGTATTTAGCCCTGCAGGTCTTAGCTGTGAGGGTTAGAGTTGGGGGAACTAAGGAATGTAGCTCATTTGAACATTCTCTATAGAAATAGTGGTAGAGAAATCAGAAGGAATATTTCGTCTGTGGGAAGGGGGTTGTAAAGTGGAAAAGAATTCATTACCCACAAAGACTTTTTTTGGTCGTTATCAAGACTGGAAAGTGAAAACTGGACAACACCATCCCCCCAGATATGACAGCAATACTTCATTTTTGTCCTGATCTGTCTCTTGTAAAGAAAGAGCATAGCAGGAGGAGTCAGGTACTCACTGGAGCAGTACAGGAAACTGACCATATTTCCAGGAGCTTTAGCGATGGATCCTATATATGAGTTTCACTTAAGGTCTGAGTTGAGCTTCTTTTTTTTTTTTTTTTTACTAATGTTTACCCAATACAAGGCCCAAGGGCCCCTCAAGGTAAAGTGTTACTGTGTGGAGTTGTATTAGCGTAAGAAAGGGCTAGATAACAGGAAAGATAGATACTAATACTAGACTTGAAAAGGTCAAGATTTAATAAGGGAATAAAATTTCAGAGTTCATGCAGAGACTTTAGAAGTATAGAGTTGAAGTAGACTTTAGAAGCAACCAGAAACCCAATCCTAAATAGGAAACAAGAGATAAACCTCTACTCCTGTTCAAAAGACTGGAGAGGAGTGTGAACCGGACGATAGGCAAACCTATCTATTCCTATTACATGTATTGAACTTATGGAGCAATCCACGTTACCTTTTCACCCCTTTGCAGAACAATCCATTCTTACACCCACACACCTGTTATCCAATCAAAACACTAGTTCTGATGAGCTCAATTTCTCATTGGCTAACAAGCCTTAAAAAACTATGTATGCACGTGAAAAATGCCTTTGGCACTCAAACGTTTTTGATCCTATTTTTCCTTGCCAGAAAGTATAAAAGAAAGAAAATAGAATCAATTTAGCAGTCAGACCTTCATTCCTAGAGAGATGCCAAACTGACCCACGCAAGTCAAAACTCTGACCAACCAGGACTTTGCCGCGCAAAATATCTGACTCAACAATCCACAAGCACACTCTATCCCTCTCAGGAACGCTATCCAAATATCACTTACGAAACTTTAAAAAATGACATTTTTTCTCACTACTTAATAAGTATTAGTAAACAAACAATCATATTCTCACACAACTAAAGGTACGCAACTCCTACCAATTCTGAACAATGATACAAACAAACTTACATACACACATTAATAACTGAACTAGCACAAAGGACAATTTTGTACGTAACTGGACACTTAGTTTAACTTTATGAACAAATCTGAATAGCAATTGCAAACACTTTCAAAGATTCACAATAATATTCTATGCAGCCAAATACATCTCTTCTCATTTATCCATCAAAGTTCAACTCATATGTATTCTCGAATTGTACATTAATTGTACATAAATAATGCATGTTGTTTTATTGAAATCTCATAATCGGTGTTTCTTACTCAATTGCCTTGTGATTGATTCGTTTTGAATGTCTATATTCTATATTGTTATGGATTAATATGGTGAACATGCCGGTAAACTAACCATCTTAATATAAAAACCTTCTGATACCAAAATTCAAACTCATAGCAATCCCAACAAACTCATGACAACTAGATGACAGCAAATGATAATTAACCAATACCTATATCTACTATGCCACAAAAAGGATATCAGCGGTGTAAATCCAGTGTCAGATGTTTTTCAATATTTGGTTATCATGGACGCATTCTACCAATTGTTTGTTAATTTTAGTTTTGCTTTTTATTTGGGAGGTGCAGAATTGTCAATCTACTTGGACATATTTTGTTATACCTAACTTTACTATGAAAAAAAAAAAAAATTCAAACATTAAATCACTAAAAAAAATACACAAACAATTGGCATTCATGGCAAGGGGCCTCTTTAAGAGAACACCCATTCATTGTGACAGATGGAAATTCAGTGAACAGAGAAATCTAAGATGTCACCAAACTTCTTTTACTCCTCTAAAACTTTTGTATAAACAACTTTTTCAACAACACTACTATTTTCTAAAGTTCTTTTTGTCATTATGCTAAATCCACTTGAATTTCCTACTCCAGGCATAGCTACATACATATCTATGAGAGAAATATTTGGATATTTTTTCTAATGTTTATATTTATAAATTTATATTTATAACAATAATAAAAATTAATTCAGTATAAAATAAATTGGTACAGTTTAAGAAAATATAATTAAACAGATTATTTTGACTCATTTAAATAATTCCATTAAAGTTTTTTGGGGCTCTGTTTGGCTAATTTGTAGTCATGTGAAATTGATGACAACAACAATGCTTATTATGAATGTTGACAAAGTGAAAAGATTTCCGTGTGACAAGTTTCATTCTTTAGGACTCCATTGGACTAAATTTATGTTTACATTGATATAATTACACATCCACATGGAGGAGTAGGGGACGCTAAAAAAATTTTTTTTTTTTAAATTTAATTTATGTTCTGGGCTGATTTCAGTTAGATTCTTTTTCTTTTTGTTTCCATCACTTTTGTTATTAAATATCCTAGACTGTGATAATAGAAGATCTGCCAAACATGTTGAAACATTGTGTTTATATACCCAAAACATATATTAAATTGAAAAATTAAAAAAGAAAATTTTCAGCATCCCCTATTCCTTTGTGCACATTTGTAGTTGCATCATTGTTAGTCTGATGAAGTCCTAAAGGATGAAACACATCACATGATAAATTTTTTCACATTGTCATACTTCTTTCCCTTAAAATTGTTTCTTGATAATTCTAAATTGTTTTACCATTATGAATACTGTAGGTTTTCTAAATGCTTTTTGTTCTGTTTGACTAAATTTGAAGTCACGTGAAATAGCAGACAAAAACAATGCTTATTATGAATGGTATAGATTTTCTAATTTATGACTGAACCAAGACAAATATAAAATCTTTCTATAAAAACACAAGGACTTAAAAAATTAATTAACAGCAGAAACATTACTTATATATGGCAATTTTAAAATTTTGAATTAAATATAAATAACACAGATGAAATATTAAAATGTGCTTTTCAAAATTGTTATACAAATTAAAGATTACTGCTTATGTGGTAAACAGTATTTGTTAGTAATATATATAAAAGGCTGAGAATAAGCTTGTTATATAGTGGTATGGTGCACTGATTTTGTCTACTGATGTAAGGTGGAGATATACAGACTAAATTTAGCCTTACATAAATTTATAAAATATATATATATATATATATATATATATATATATATATATTATATATATATATATATATCTATATATATACTATTTATTTGATAAATTCTCTGAAACAGCAAAAGCATTTGGATTCACTATCAACATAAAGAAGACTGAGCTAATGTACCAGCCAGTACCAGGCAATCCATCTCTCACAAATCCTTCCGTATTCATTGATGGTACAGCATTAAAAACTGTTGAGGCGATCACATATCTTGGATCAACAGTCTTTTCTGATGGAAAAATGGACAAAGAAATCCAATCCAGAATAGCCAAAGCCAGCACAGCATTCAGTAAAATTAAATATAGTTTATGGAACACCAAAGACGTGTCTCTCAGACTAAAGATCGACATATACAGATCAGTCGTTCTCTTGACCCTTCTCCATGGTGCTGAAACTTGGACCCTGTTCCGCAAGCACATAAATCAACTTGACACCTTTCACATGCACTGTCTTCATGCCATATGTGATATAAAATAGGATGACAGGGTCAAGAATAGTGGAATACTGAAAAAATGTAACAACATCACAAGCATTGAAACAATTCTAGCAAAGATACAACTTAGGTTGGCTGGTCATGTTGTGAGAATGGATTAGCATAGGCTTCCAAAGAAGGTGCTGTATGGACAACTACCAAACTCCAAGCATTCAGCTGGACATCCTCTCTTACACTACTACAAAGACAAATTGAGAGACAACTTGAAATGTATCAACTTTGATCTGAAAACCTGAGAAGCCCATCATCAAATGAAAAGGAGTGGTGTAAGACATGTTTCATTAAGTTAAAGGGTTTTGAAGACAGTAGA